ATGGCATTTGTCTATGGCTTTATTGTCACCTGTCAAAGAAAATCATGAAATCTGTCAGCCGCTGCAGAAATTTTGTAATCTCTTCTTGACTATTTGTTATTTTTGTGAAAAAATCGAAAAAGCTCAAGCAAGTCGTATTGTTTTCAATGTGAATTGTAAAATAAGGCATAATTCAAAGTCAATCTTTGATTTTAAAGCACGTCGTCGAGTTGACAGTAAGTTGGACTGAAATTTTTTGATACATTTAGTTTATTACCCAACTGCGTCAGAAGGAGGGTTGTGTTTTTTTATATTATTCTTACTTAATAGCTGCTTTATCGGGATTTTCAGGTGTATCTCACAAGTTGGTGCAGAGAAATGGTGAAAATTTTATGACCATGTAAAGAAAATTGAAAAAGATTTCATCAAGCAAGATTGAATAGGAGAAGTTTCAAATTTTTTTCTTTTTATAAATCTTGAAAATGTAAGTAAAACTGATAATAATTGTGAAATAATCATGAAAATATCTCTACAAATAAAGAAGTTACAGGGCCCTAAAGTTGTGCATAACAAATATTCGCACCATTTTGATCGGTGTAGTCACGACAGTCAATCGGAGTACAAACAGTAAATCACCCCAGTGCCCCGATTACGCTAATTTTTAACGTCTCCAATACATACGCGCTTCTTCGCCAGTTGCGCTCCGTTTTTCATTCCAGCTGAGGTGCAAATTCGGTATCACGATAATGGACGTACCTAACGTACCTTCCTAGTATTTTCATTGTCACATGAGATATTTAGCTTTACGTTTACGTCTATGCTTCGTTTCAACTATAGGTGTACCAGAATCTCATGGCAAATAGGGAAAATAAACTTTGTTGAGAGCAATACTGGGGAAATTGGAATAAACGATCTTGATACTGTCACAAATACTGTTTAATTTTTTACTTTTATTACTTTAATATTAATGAACATGAAGTACGAATATACATTTTAGGTAGGTATGTGTATGAAGAATGTTGTTAGACATCAGATTTTTAACATAGGTAAATGTCTTGGAAATTAAATCGTATATTACTTTAAGTAACTAATTTTATTATGCATCATACTTTTAACTTATCACTTCATTCAGAACTAGAAAACGATTCTAAGAACTCCACTTGCATTTCTTGTTCTTCAATAGACAGATGATCAAGATAAAGAGGTACTGTAAATAAATTGCTCTTCCAANAGAATATTAATAAATAATGCAGTTATACCGACCTAGGTTGTTTCAAGTCACGATCTAGCAGGTCTTCGGAGAAAATTAGCACTTTATGTCTCGTTTCATACAAAAAAAACACAAATTATTTTTTTTAAGCTAAAGTATCAGGTTTAGAGAAAAATGTGATATGACATGTCGTGATGAGTGAGCAAAGGACTATCGACTGGCAATTTTTAAAATTCGATTTTCCGGAAAAAATCCCTATGTCCACTTTAATGCCATTTCGATCCACCGTGCGCCAGGGCCTATTCCCTATCCCTTGCGAGTGCAAAATAGCAAAATATGTATTCCCTATCCCTTGCGAGTGTTACTGTATTAAACTATTTAATATATTAATAAAGAAACTCATTTATATGGCTTTATTAACTATCCCTTGTTCTGTGAATGTGAGTATCATAATGGGGAAGTTATTATTTCAAAAGTTATGAAGCAAAAACGAGTAAATTCTGGAAACCGGACACTCCTTTTTAGGCCAAATTTCCCCCTTTTTTGATCTTTCGGATTTTTTTACGGCGAGATGTAAAACCTGGCGGTCTTCTAAATATGCTCTCCATCAAGTCAAGAGTCCTATAAATATGTGTGATTTTTTTCAAGTCCGTATTTCAATTTTAAAGGTACTTTTTTCGCCCCAGTAGGTCGATCGGTCGTCCCCGTAGAAATGCCCAAAACAACTAAAACGAGCTAAGTTGCACCATTTTACTTTAACTTTTAGCTTATTTTTTTTCCTTAATTTGTGCTATAAGACGTTGCTTCGTAGGTACCCAAGATTCTGCATGACTTCACGGGAAGTCCTACCCTGTAGGTTTTTTTGATTCCCTATCCCTTGCGAGTGTCGAAAAATATGCGGAAATTAATAATAGTAAGTTTAAAAATATCTATACTTATAATAAATCTGTAGAGAGGCCAATTCTGTACATGAAATATATTTTCAAAATAACTATCAGGGGGTGATTAGTGATCGATACTGATGCCAAAAATGCAATCAGTAAAATTTTTGTCTGTCTGTCTGTCTGTCTGTCCGTCTGTATGTTCCTTATAGAAACAAAAACTACTCGACGGATTTTAACGAAATTTGGTACAATTATTCTTCGTACTCCTGGGCAGGTTATAGGATACTTAGGAATTCCCACGGAAACGGGAATTAGCGGGAAAATCCTTTTGTATGAAAAATCTAAACCGCTTAAGTTAGACACTTTAAATTTGGCATGCAGGTAGCTTAGTAAACTTAAAGCTTAGTTACAACAGGATATTGCAAAATTCCCAAAGGAACGGGAATTAGCGGGAAAATCCTTTTGTGTGAAAAATCTAAACCGCTTAAGTTAGACGCTTGAAAATTGGCATGCAGGTATCTTAGTAAACTTAAAGCTTAGTTACAACAGGATATTACAAAATTCCCACGGGAACGGGAGTTAACGGGAAAAAACATTTGTATGAATAAATCTAAACCGCGTAAGATAGATGAAGGGGGTAAAACGGGATCCACGCGTACGAAGTCGCGGGCGGCCGCTAGTTAAAAATATTTTTTTATATAATGGAACTAACAATATTTACGGTTTTGGCAAGGGCTATCTATCTATACAGGGTGTTAGGTAAATGGGTATATGAGCCGACACTAGCCCATGTTAACATGGACATATAAATGGTATGGTGAAGTCAGAAATTTGATATCATCATTTTAATTTTTTTAATTTTCATGCAAAATAAATTTTATAAAATTCGATTAATATGAAAATTAAAATAATTAAAATGAAGATATCGAATTTCTGACTTCACTATACCATTTATATGCCCATGTTAACATGGGCTAGTGTCGGCTCATATACCCATTTACCTAACACCCTGTATATATAAAAGAAAGTCGTGTTAGTTACACCACTTATAACTCAAGAACGGCTGAACCGATTTAGCTGAAAATTGTCAGGGAGGTAGTTTAGAGCCATGAGAAGGACATAGGACTTTTTATCCCGTTCGAAATTAAAAAAAAAGTCTGCTTNATTAGCGGGAAAATCCTTTTGTGTGAAAAATCTAAACCGCTTAAGTTAGACGCTTGAAAATTGGCATGCAGGTATCTTAGTAAACTTAAAGCTTAGTTACAACAGGATATTACAAAATTCCCACGGGAACGGGAGTTAACGGGAAAAAACATTTGTATGAATAAATCTAAACCGCGTAAGATAGATGAAGGGGGTAAAACGGGATCCACGCGTACGAAGTCGCGGGCGGCCGCTAGTTAAAAATATTTTTTTATATAATGGAACTAACAATATTTACGGTTTTGGCAAGGGCTATCTATCTATACAGGGTGTTAGGTAAATGGGTATATGAGCCGACACTAGCCCATGTTAACATGGACATATAAATGGTATGGTGAAGTCAGAAATTTGATATCATCATTTTAATTTTTTTAATTTTCATGCAAAATAAATTTTATAAAATTCGATTAATATGAAAATTAAAATAATTAAAATGAAGATATCGAATTTCTGACTTCACTATACCATTTATATGCCCATGTTAACATGGGCTAGTGTCGGCTCATATACCCATTTACCTAACACCCTGTATATATAAAAGAAAGTCGTGTTAGTTACACCACTTATAACTCAAGAACGGCTGAACCGATTTAGCTGAAAATTGTCAGGGAGGTAGTTTAGAGCCATGAGAAGGACATAGGACTTTTTATCCCGTTCGAAATTAAAAAAAAAGTCTGCTTAAGTATTTATTGCCATTAAGGCGGAACAAAGTTCGCCGGGTCAGCTAGTAGTATCTATTATATAAAAGAAAGTCGTGTTAGTTACTCCACTTATAACTCAAGAACGGCTGAACTGATTTAGCTGAAAATTGTCAGGGAGGTAGTTTAGAGCCAGGAGAAGGACATAGGATACTTTTTATCCCGTTATTTATTGCCATTAAGGCGGAACAAAGTTCGCCGGGTCAGCTAGTTTTTAACTAAAGTTATGCGGTCGTCAAGTCCTTGAATAAAACAAATTGCTTACACAAAAATTCAGGTACTTACTCGTACCATTACCGAAGTATTTGAGAGCTTCTGCTGTTTCTTCCGGTCCTAATTCTTTGATTTCATAAGGATATTCTTCCGTTGACATTTTTGATTTAAAAAGAAAACGAGTAAAGTACAATAAATAAAACTTTTCCGCGTAGCTCCGTTTACCGCACAAACGTCTCTTACTGTTTTGATTACGACCTAAGTTATCACTCAGCATTTTAATAAATGGTATCGTTTGAATGTAGGTATGATAACAAACGTCAGCACATAAGTACATAATCAGTAATGTAGATAAAATTTGAAACTGACTGACATATCAGAATGTAGCCCTATTTGGATTACAAGCTTGGAATTTACAGATCCTAGGATTTTCTAAAATAAGTATTGAGAAAATAGGTACTTGTTTCCAATTATCATGATCCATTATCATGCGACAGTAACTGATGGTGTCGAAGTCGATGTCGAACTGCGACTGGTAGAATCCAAATCCGAGGAGCTCGGTTCGAACCCCGGCGCGGTGCGCCGCTGGCCTTTGTGGTAACCCACTCAAAGCATGCCTACGCATATTTAGAAGAATGAAAGTAATTAACTAGTTTTTTAAATTAATTTAACTACCTACTTGTGCGTTAATTTCGATCATTTCTTAAAAATTTACCAAGATTCAAACAAGAATGAATTTTCTTATATTGCTTTAAAGTTTCCAATTAAATCCTAATTTAGGTGGTGGAGATCTAAATACAAGAAAAAACTCGGTGAAATATTATAGTATTTTTACTTACTAAAATAATGTACAATATAAGTTACGATGGCATGGATATGGGAATAAATTAACTAGAACTAAACGTAGAGATCAGGAGTTACGATGAGGCTGGGACGACTTCGGGCGTTGCGGCGGGTTGTTCCGGTTCGGTCTGCGCTTCGGAGTCGGCGTCCTGGGCGGGCGAGGCGCGCGCGCGGCACACCAGCGTGACCGGGTCGCGCTCGCGGTCCGGGCCGCACTGCTCCGTGGCGCCCAGCAGCTTCATCTCGTCGTCCTCGGCCGCCGGGCCGGGCCCGGGCCGCCGCCGGCCCGCGATCACCACCTCCACGGCGCGCCCGCTCTCCGCGCCGATCTCCACGTGGTAGGGCGTGCTGGGCTCCACGAACGCCTCCATCACGTGCACGTCGGCGCGCTCCTGCACCTCCGCCTCGCGCGCCGGCTTGGCGCTCTTCAGCCAGCCGTCGAGGATGCTGGAGGGAAACGGCGTCTTCTGCGGCAGCGCGACCAGCAGCACCACATTCTGGACGTCGGCGCGCACGTTGAACTCGCCGTCCTGCCGCTCGTCGTAGGTGGCGGGCGCGGCGGCGGCGGCCGCGAGGATCGACAGGGCCAGGGGCAGCAGCATGGCGCGTGCGGTCAGGACTCCTGTAGCTCGGCGACTGCGCGCCGCATACTCCGGCGACGCTTTTACCGAGCACCCGCCAACCAGTCGGCCGGCCGAATCGGGCACACTGTAACGGTTAACACGACACCACGGGTCAAGCTTCACATACGGGACCTGATAACACCCATTATCATTTAAATTTAATGCCATCGACCAACATACGAGTATCATATCGGTAAAGCTCGATAGAACTTTCTGAAAGTTCGCCGTGATACAAATTAAGTCAGCATTTTGTATTTCATGTAAATGGTCGTGTTGTTATAGGTGTGTACTTTTTGCATCGCCGTCGCTGTCACAATGGAACCGAGTCTTCGGGCCCAGTCAAGTCCGATGGCTTATGACAGTGACCGCGGGTCACCGGGCCGATAACCGAGTTTCGCTTTTTGCGTATTAAGTGCTATAAATAGAGACTAACTAAGTAGGTGTGCCTACATATGCGTGCATGTAAAGATGCAGCAGTCGGATGCATGGCTCGCGTTCCGTTACTCAATCAGCATATGACCGTTGCTTCCATAAACGAACGAACTAACCAGATTGTTCCATGATTTACGTCAAAGATTTTGCTTAGTCATCAATTTCTAATTTTCTTAAAAACGCTTTTATCAGATGTCAGATAATATGATATGAACACGTAGTGACGTAGGTGGTGAACTACCTACTGTTGGCGAAAATGGACTGATATAGAACCAAAACACTATAGGCATAATCTGACAGATAATTTACTGTTGGGGTTTCATAGTCAACAAGGAATTATTGTAATAGTTTCATTCAGTCCGCAGCCAGCTCCAGAGACTCTTGGTTATTTGATTAGGAAGCTGTAATTTGGTATATACCTAGCATTGCACAGTAAAAATACACCTTGATAACAATATTGTCCTGTACTTTCGTCTCCGGTTGCTAACCAGCGGAAGGAACCGTTTTTAACCGACTTCAACAAAAGGAGGAGGTTCTCAATTCGGATGGTTTTTTTATGTATGTATAATTATCAAGAAAGATCACTAACAAGGCTACATAGATACAAACTAAATTGCGAACAATAACATCACCGTAATACGTTGAGTGCGTTGATATAATATTGAATTTAAAATGAAAACTTTACCAAAGAGACTTACGAGTAAAACCACAGGTAAAACGTATAAAAATTGATTAAGTAGGAAGTTTTTTTTAATTTACTACGAAATTCTAATGCACTCCTAGTTTATATCAAGGTATTTTTCTACCTACCCTGGTAAACGTAACCATGGGTTCACATTTCAGTACCCTATCCACGTACCAGGACCTGTTGAGGGTAGGTAGAGTAGGTAGGTACAGAATACCTACTTACGTAATGAACCCAAAATGATTTGACTATTCACATAGGGACACATTAAAAACATTGTCTTAACACATCTACACTAATTATAAAGAGGAAAACTTTGTTTGGTTGTAATGTATAGGCTCAAAAACTACTGGACCGTTTTTAAAAATTCTTTCACCATTCGAAAGCTACATTATCCACAAGTAACATAGGCTAAATTTTATTTTGGAAAAAATAGGGTTCCGTAAAATATGTAGTAGATAATGTAGTCCACGCGCGCGAAGCCGCGGGCGGAAAGGTAGTGTAAGAATTTAACCCATCATGATAAGCTACAATGTATTATAATTATTAGCAAATTGTTAATTTATTTAATTACTATTTAACGTGTGAGCTTTTTTCGCCTGAAACACAGGTTTTTAACCTAGCTCAGCTACAAAAGACTAAGAACTATATGTAAACTCTAGCATAATAAGTTCTTATAATGCTCTTATTTTAATGAATAAATTATTTATTTATTTATAAGCTTGTATTACGAGGAGGATTCGCCACAAGGGATTCGAACCCGTGTTCCTCAGATCTCGATTGGGCCTGTCCGACACTGACACCATTAGATCTGTGCCATTAGGCCACTGTATGTCGCTCAGAGTAGTAGATAAAATTAAACAAAGTTGTAGGGATTTTTCAATAAAAATTCTTATATTTTATTTTCAACGAAACAATACATTATTTTACAACCTTACGTCTATAACTTAAAATTAAATAAATACATCTACGTAAATGCGATTTTATCACCCATGGTCACATAATATTTATCTTTCTTTAAGTGTTTACTTTTTACTTACATCTCCTTACTTATACAATAGGTACAGATTAATAAACTTGTGTTATACAAACACTCTTTATGGGCTCAATTATATTGACATATTTATTTGCCTTATCAAGAACTATTTTATGTACCTAAGCACAATAAAACTTTCTACTTCTACATAAGATGAGAACAATTCGTTTGTCTTAGTAATGGCAGTGCCGTTGGTCTAGTGATGCCGATTTCTTCGCAGCAGCGGTAGTAAAAGATGTGCGATCTTGTTTTTCAGTCTGCGGACAAAAAAACAGAAATAATTTATTACAAGAATCGCATACATTTATCACTTTTAATTATTACAGCTAATGATTACTAATAATCGTGTCTATTAATGAAATTGTGTTACAAAATGACAAACTTAACAATGAACTGTTAATCAGAACTTTTAACTACCTTTGAGCTTTTTCTTGTTTTCTAGTCGTTGCGTCCTTTTTCTGGCTTTTGAGATTGGGGGTGAGGCTGACGTCACTGAGCGGCGCCTCGGCGGGCGCGTCGGGCTTCGCGGGCGCTTCGGGCTTCGCGTCCTCGGGCTTCGGTTCGATGTGGGGTTTCGGCGGGGAGGTGGTACTGGGCGGCTTCGGCTTGACCTCGTTGAAGTCGTCGAGGTCGAGAAGGTCGCTGATGTCGATGTCGGAGGCGGCTGCGAGCAGCGAGTCGGCGGGCGCGACGGCGATGACCACGCCGTCGATATTGAGCCGGTAGTTCTCGGAGCCGTTCTGCCGCTGGTCGTAGTGGCGATCGCAGTCGGCGGGCGCGGCCGCGGCGATCACCACCAGCGCCGCCAGTAGCGCCACCTCGCACACCACTCTCTTGTAGTTGACCATCGTGGGAGCTGATCGACGCCGCACTGAGCCTCGCCCGGTTTGAGCCCGCTATGTACCCGTTCTCCGCTGCATCTTTTATTTATTCGCGGAGATAGCGGTACAGCCGCCGCAGCGCCTAACCGCGCACTCGTCCCGGCTAAACTGGAATTAACACAACATCGGCGCACAATAAATACAACTATTCTCCACGTTTCGATGCTAATGCTAGCAATTACGAATTAATGAATATTCCGGCTTCGTCTATTCTAGAGAGGATTCTATTACCTACCAGAAATCAAGTTTAATGTTACTTAGATGCATAAGTAAATAAAGCATATTCAAATGAAAGTTTGCTGAAAGCTATGTTGTAAAGGGTAAAATTATAATTACTTACCTACTTACTTACTTAAATATTTTGGTCAAATTCAATCACGACTCTACCATCTAATAAAATATTCTGAATTTGAATCCTCTCAATTAAACTTTTGTTCATCATCTTCTTTGGGTTAATGGCGTGAACTTGCGTTTTTTCGCCACTGAGGGCACACTGTTCTAATAAACTTTTGTTATAAACAACACCATCATTTTTTCTGTTCATAAGTCCGCTGAAACAGGTTTTCTCTTAATTTGCGAACTGGTTTCACCTAAATACATATCTAATGACTTACCTAGACCCGTAAACTAGGTAAGCTTTCGTTCGGATAATTAAATTTGTTTTCTCTAAAGCTTTCCGTAGCATAAATACACTTGGTATGATTGAGACTCCACCTACACTACGTAGTGTAGGTAGAGTCTCAATCATACCAAGTGCTCCCAAAGAGAAACGGTGCTTCATACTTACCTATTTAATGTTTCAGAACAACGAGTCCTTAAAATTTACCGTACCAATCCTTTTTCGGTTAGTAAAATTCGTTCTTAACAACTGTAAAAACAAGTTAAAAAAGCTCTGGAAACTTGAAACGCTATATTTTGTCAGTCATTGCGCCATATCATATAAAGCTAACGGGTGTTTTCAAAAGCTCTCACTCATATTCCAACACCGTAACCTAAACACGATGCGTAAAGTTGAAATATGAGTAAGTACTTATACTGCTTATACTAAGTCTAGCTAGATATTCGATTTAACGAGCATCCTTTCACATAGGTTTACGCCCGTATTCACAAACATTACTACGTGGTCTCACAGTGCGCGTGGACGCACAGGGTCACACAAGAACCAACCACAGAGCTCTATTTAACGCTGTGCGTTCGGTTTGCTGCTTCACTAATGCAAGCATCGTTTGTGAATACGGGCGTTACTTAGTTCTCATAGAAAAACCCGCACGAAGGCCGTCGTCTGGCACAGTTGTAGACTTGTAGCACCAAAACAACCTGCCGCCCCGTCCGGGCTTTCGACTAACTGTACCGCCCACTCGGAAGGTAAACGGTACGCCGATTACTTTTCGTTTTATTTGCCCTTATCTACGGATTGGGCCAGAAACGCAGAAATTCGTAACGGGAAATATGGTTCTTGTTTATACTTAAGGCACGTGGAAGGAATTGATAACTTTGTCACAAAGATATAAGATTAGATACAAAATAAATTAGCTAAGTAGTTAGGTGTAGTGTAGGTATTGTCTTAGTTACAATTCGATAAATTTAATCACGATAACGATTTTAAGTTTGGTTGCCAACAACTTGTAATGATGAATGGATGATTTATTTATACCTATCTAGAGAAATAAAGAAAATCGCTTGATTTACACCACTGTTTGTTATTCAGTCATACATACCTACTCAATAATTGACTGCGTATTGATAATAATCATCCATCAACATAAACACCGAAAAGAAAAAAATGTAAAAACAAATCGTAAGTCAGTTAAGCGCGTTCTGAAAGCACAGAATTCGTAAGTCTCTTATTTATACACTTTTTAGTGGGTATTTTTGAGTATGTAAAACTTTCGGAAACGCAGTTGGTACCTACTGCTAGGCTTGGACATTGATGAGACGTGCAAAAGAAAAGAGCTTTTGAGAGGTCAAAGGAAAAGAAATAACTTTTCGATAAATCTATTTAAGTACGTTGGGACAGAAAAGTTCTCGAGTGGCGACCACGGGCTGGAAGACGTAGCGTGGGCAGACCACCTACTAGGTGGACCGAGGATTTGGTAAAGGTCGCGGTAAGAGCCTGGATGCGGGCAGCGCAGGACCGTTCATTGTGGAAAACCTTGGGGGAGGCCTTTGTCCATCAAGAGACGTCATTTGGCAGAAACGAACGAACATCTATTTAACTACAAAGTATAGAACTGTCACTGAACCCTACCTGCCACTTAACCAGATGATCGGTCCCGATAAAATACACATCAAATTAAAGCCCGAGTGGCATTAGCAGTTTATGTTAATAGTGGTCTCGACGAGCCGAGAACAGGAAGCGAACGGGACCGCAGAGGCCGCGCGCCTTTCTAAAGCGGGCCCGACCAGTCGCTGATCTGCCCTAATTTGGAACTAGTCTGATAATGATAACCATCCTCAGAACATCTAGAAGTGTTAAAGATAAAAAAAATGATAGCACAGTGGCCAATGACTTTTAGGATACGAGGACTTTTAAGCCTCGTCTAGAATAATTTTATTTAATAAGGAAGGCACAACGAATTGGGGTTATTTAAGGAGGGTAGTGAATTTTATACTCTTCATTACAAGGACTCTTAAATTTTCGTATTTAAAGGCAGCATAATAGACAATTATATTGTGTGGGAATAGAAAATGCTTTTTATAAAGAAGTTTATATTTAATAATACTGTAGGAAAACTACATTGTTTGTTAACACGACTTAAATCTAATTTAACACTTATTTATTATTCTAGTTCATTAAACATAATGCAACTTCTAACCGCTTTAAAACCAAAACAAGTGCAATAACAATGAATGATTGATCACTGCTGTTGATGGAAAAAATAAAATGTTGTTTGTTTAGTGAAAAAAGAAACCGTTTTACTTTCTATGAATAAATTATGTTGTAATAATAATAATATCATCATTTCATTAAAAGGAATACTATTTCTGCGAAAACAATAATTAAGAAATAACATTAAAATTTGTAACCAATTTTTCATTTTATAGCCATGTGTAATGTGCGTTCCGACTATCTCAACAATAGTAAGTTTAAACAAATGTAAATTACTAATAAAAACATTAATAGATCAAACACATAATAAATTGTATTGAACAACCGCATAAGGCACTCGGGAAGACACAAGTCTAAAATATCTATTGTCTAAGGCACTTTTTCATTAGGCTTAAAAACTATAAAACGTATTGCTATACTTTATTAATATCGTTAAATAAAAGAAATATCATTTAAGCAATTCTTTTGCGCCTGAGTGTGGAAAGCCGTATCAACTCCCGTAGTGGCATTCCGTCATCATAATACTAGCAGGCGTTAGTGACAATACGCCAAGTAAGATTAAAAATTCCTCACTGTCCTTCTAAGTAAGCTGCAAAGAGTGTAAGAAGGCGTCTGCAGTTTCGGAATCATTCAGCATCAAGGTAGCGCTGCTCTATGCCCAAGATTTCCATTATTTTCTATTGTCTCATTCTGAACTGGCACTAAATGGGTTAACAAAAGTATATTACGCTCACGCTACGTCACTATACCACAAACTATACTCGTCGCAGTTATAGAGTGCCGCCATGAGGTTTAGGAGCCCTCTGTAGCATTCACCGCGGCTTACAAGAAACAGTGCCGCGTCGAGGTAGCGTTGAACTGCGCCCAAACTATTTTCGCATTCGGCACTGGCACTAGATGAATTAACAAAAGTATATTCTCACGCGCCGTCACTATACTCGTCGCACTCTTTATAATGAGCAGCCACGAGGTTCAAAAGACCCCTATAACATCCACCGCGGCTTACACGGAACAGAGCCGCATCGAGATAGCGTTGAACAGCGCCCAAACTATTGTCGCATTTGGCACTGGCACTACATTATTAACGAAAGTATACTCTCACGCGCCGTCACTAGATGAATTAACAAAAGTATATTCTCACGCGCCGTCACTATACTCGTCACAATCCTTGTAGTAAGCTGCCACTAGGTTTAAAAGACCCCTATAACATCCACCGCGGCTTACACGGAACAGAGCCGCATCGAGGTAGCGTTGAACTGCGCCCAAACTATTTTCGCATTCGGCACTGGCACTAGATGAATTAACAAAAGTATACCCACCAAAAACATTCTGTAAAAAACTAGCCAAGTCTCGATGGAGCTGCTTGTTTATCTCTAAAAAGAATCAACGAAATGCAAATTACACAACATTCAACTTAATCGACGACTTTCTCTAGAAAGGAAAAAAATCTGGACACCGCTTGCTAGTGCTAGCGCCATCTAGCGGTGAGCGATACAGGCGAACACCACGGGGCCGGAGTAGTATTGATTATGAATGTGGTTACTCCAGATCTTCGATTTTCCTAGTTTTTATAGTTTTCCCTTTATGTGGCCATTAAACCCTAACTCTGTACCAAATTTCAGCCCTCTGAGTTAATGGGAAGTACTAGTTCTATTTTGATGATCATCAGTGAGTGAGTGAGTGAGTGAGTGTCGTAAATGCGAAACTTTGCTTTCGCTTAACTTCGGAACTAAATGACCTACAGACTTGAAATTTTGGATTTAAAGTATGTGATTATAGCTTACTAGATGACGAAAATTTCTGCGTTCTGGTCTTATCCAGAGGTTCTCAAATAGGGGCCTGAAAATGCGGCGAAATGGTTCCAGTAAAGGATGGTACGGCAGTGTTTGCTTCGCGCTCGACTTGGCGGGGGCACTGCCGTGCCCCCAGATTCTCACGCGCCGTCACTATACTCGTCACAGTCCTTGTAGTAAGCTGCCACGAGGTTCAAAAGACCCCTATAACATCCACCGCGGCTTACACGGAACAAAGCCGCATCGAGGTAGCGTTGAACTGCGCCCGCGCACGCACCGGGCCCGGCGCCGGAGCAGAGGTCACGTGATGCGTTACATAGCGTCACCGCCTGCCGCCATATACGTGTGGTCACTGTTGACAATTAAAACTAATATTAGACGAACATTCTCAAGGGGCATTGACCTTATTTTCTAGTTAGCCTCAAGTCATTTTAGTCTCAACTGAAGGAGCAAGACCTTCTCTATACATATTATTAGAGGCATAAGGAGCACTTAGGGAACACTTCTTGTTCTGGTTGGATTGGGGCGGCCTGATATCCACATATTGTCGTCTTACATCTACGGAAAGAATGCGAGTGGTCCTATTCTATGCTGCTGAAATTATATTTCTCTTAAGGCCGCTTTCACATTAGGACGTGAGAAGTGCGACAGCAGCGCGGCACCGGCGTTTTTATAATGTAAAGGCAGGCATCCGCTGTCATATAGTATGAAATTAACAGCAGCTCGTCTGTTGCGCGTTTGTCGCGCTGCTAAAGTCGCCTAAATGTGAAAGCGCTATAATGAACTTCTGAGGTCTGAAAGTCGTCGTGACTGTCATTTAGCTCCCGTATTTGGAAATCAATCTTCAAGCTCTTGTTGCTTTCTCTTAATGTTATTTGCTACAGCCTCAGCTCCACCACCACCTACAAATACTCACAGAAGTGCTGCATATCGAGGTCACAGTGCTGCGTGAGCTGCTGCAGGCAGGCGGCGTCAGGCAGCGCCACGCCCTCACCGGCCACCAGCAGCGAACCCGGCGCCGTCGCGCTCAACACCAACTCGGCGATCTCCGCTTGGAGGGACTGGCCAAAGAATATTATGTCAAATGTAGGGTAAAATAAAATAGACTTCACATTCAAGAGTTTAAAACCATAAAAGAGCGCACAACGGCTCAATCGAGGAATAAGTGAGCTGCCACACTAGCGGATTGCAAGCGTTTTCTAAGCGGAGTGGCGACCCGGCAAACACGAGGCGGAAACGTTGCACATTCACGACATGTTCGCCGCGGACATGCGGCGTGTTCGCTGCGTTGCCGCTCCGCTTTGAAAACGCTTGTAATCGCCAGTGTGGCAAAGCCTTATGTGCGACCTGATTGCCCTGCAAAACTAACAAACCATAATACATAGTTCAAAAAGCTATTTTATTATTACTATTGCCAAGGCCCGGGTACCAAGTTTATTTATGTAATAAATTTTACATCTATCAATTTGCTGTAAAAAGACTCATTATTTACCTGATGGTTATGTGGACCTGTTGACTGCTTCTTCAAGTCATCTCGTATCACATGAAGTTTGTATGCTGTTGGGATATGCTAAAACAAAACAAAAGAAAATTATATTAATTATTTTTGTGTAAAATGTAAATGCAGTACTAGCTCTACTTAGTTCAAGGGAACTTGGTAATTAGTGTGAATTCTAGAAGATATTTTAAAATAATTATAGATCACTAGGAAAAAGACTCACATTTGTGTCAGCAAGCATCAGTATTCTGTGGACATGGGCTTGATCTGTTGTATCTGGCGACAGGCGGTTCAAGCAATCCGGGTACATTTCTGCCAGGACTACACTGTTTTCTCCACCGAGGAGCGATTTGCTTTGTTCCTTCACAGCTAACTCATCCAGTTTGTCATAAATCATAGTAGCTACTTTCTGTTTTACACCTGAAACAGTTAATACACAATATAAATAAAAGATAATAGAAGATGGAAGAAAGAACATTTGTTATCCAACTCACCTTACTATTGTGACAATGTTAGCATGAAAAACAGTAAAATATTAGGAAGTTGTTTAATTACAGCCTAAATAATACTAATTTAGCAGACCTAACTGAAATAATAAACTATTTTGTTGTGAATTAGGCCTTGTCCAGGAGGGCGAATTGGCCGCGAATGTCTTCGCGCGAACGCGAGCGTATGTTGCGTCAATTCGCGCGTGTCTTGTGGACGCAATGAAGGTATTGGCTGCTAGTACTCGTATCTCGCTAACGCGCATAGGATTCGCGGCGATTGGCCTTCCTGGACAAGGCCTTAAACCTTATTGCCGAGTTTTATTTTTATTTTACTTACCAAAATACTCAGCTGCATGATAGCAATCAGCATCCTCGCACCAGGCCAGCATCATCTGCAGGGCCTGCTGCAAGGAGCATTGCAAGCGCAGGAAAAAGGAGGATATTCGGACTGGCTGCCTCTTGCCACAGCCTTCGCAGTGCCATTGCACTCTGGAATCAATGTCAAATATAATGAGTGAATAATAGAGTAATATTGTAGCTCAATAGAAGATAATATATCTTGTGTAATAATACCTCCAAATTAATTTTGTTATTTAAAAATGGCCAGCTTTCGGCCAGGGTTGCCATGTGTATTTATTTATTTATTTTATTTTATTTATTATTCATTATTGAGCAATTACATATTTGATCCAAATAGCTATTTCTAATAATAATCTATCTCTCTATTCATTACTCTCAAAGATACCAGGTTGCTGTTTAAATAAATTATTAAATGGTATTAAGTTTGCCATTTGTACCACTTTTTTGTGTGTGCAATAAAGATTTTAAATAAATAAATAAATGTGTCAAACAATATAGTTCAAAATAGTTTTTCAGTTACCTGTCTATAACCCTTGCTGCTTTACACACTATTTGGCAGTCTGGCTTGTTCGAAGGACACCTGACTGAACTGGGTAGAAGCCCAAAAGTTTGAAGTCTCTCAACTATCTGACTCTCAAGGTTTTTATTTCCAGACGAACCAGTCAGCTCAGTGAAGAGTTGCAAATTCCTAAAATAATAAATGCACCAGTTTTAATCAAGTCTTCTTATGAAGTGTAAGTTACATAATTATGCTGTTAATATTAAACAAAATAAATTATTCACTAACCCCTTGCTAGTTGGAAATGGCACGATATCAATATCATTTATCTTTGAGCTGCCATCATTCGTAGTTGAATCAGCTTCCATTGTACCTTTTTCATTAGAACTTTAAAAAATTACTAAAATTTGTTTGATGAGGCTAACCAAAGCAGAGATGGGCAATAACTTTTTGTTTTTATTATATACTAGCTGACCCGGCGAACTTTGTTCCGCCTTAATGGCAATAAATAAGCAGACTTTTTTTTAATTTCGAACGGGATAAAAAGTATCCTATGTCCTTCTCCTGGCTCTAAACTACCTCCCTGACAATTTTCAGCTAAATCGGTTCAGCCGTTCTTGAGTTATAAGTGGTGTAACTAACACGACTTTCTTTTATATATATAGAACTAGCTGACCCGGCGAACTTTGTTCCGCCTTAATGGCAATAAATAAGCAGGCTTTTTTTTAAATTTCAACGGGATAAAAAGTATCCTATGTCCTTCTCCTGGCTCTAAACTACCTCCCTGGCAATTTTCAGCTAAATCGGTTCAGCCGTTCTTGAGTTATAAGTGGAGTAACTAACACGACTTTCTTTTATATATATAGATATACAATTGCACGCAATTTATAATTAAGTGCCAAAACTACGAATTCTATCAATAACTTTCATTTACTTTTAACTTGTGTAACTTTTATTTTGAAAGAAAAATTGGAAAACTTGCAAAAAACAACATCCGAGAACAATCAACAACGTTTTTTGACATTTTTTGTCATTTTTTTGCCTGGCCTGACATGACAGATGTAGGGATGTTGATCCAATCCGATACATTATATGTCGATACAATGGAAAATCATGATCCACTCAATATTTTTTTCGTTTCATCAACATAAAATAGTATTCGCCCCGTTGGTAGATAGAGATGGGTAGTGGGTAAAAACCCATTTCACCCGATTGGGTTAAAACTGGGTGATTTGGGTAAAAACCCGGTTTTTACCCATTATCACCCATTCTGGTGGGTGAAAACAAAAATAGAGTTTTTTAAAGTGAGAAGTGGTATTTGTTGCTAAGGGGGCGTTCTAGTGTTACGTAATGCAATCTGGGGGGAGAGGAGGTCTTGAAAAACGTTACAATGCCTTACAGTGGCGGAAGGGCGGTTCGATTTCAAGTTTTTAAGCAGAAGTACTTTGTAGTTGGTGTTGTTATTTGTAACTTTATACCGTAATGTCATTAAAGAGAGAGTTTGGCATCTTTGGCATCCTCCCCCCCTCCCCCTCTATGTCCTTGCCATGATCACAAATTATGGTGTTCCTACTAAATTTCTTCTAAATCGGTTCAACGATTCTTGAAATAACACCATTTTATAAAATAATTGGTCACATCATCATAACGTGTTCAATTTTACGATTTGGCCACGATGTAAATGCATATTAGTGTTAAATTTGACTTATTACTTATTAATCAATAAACTTAAATGAGAAAAATTCAATAAAAATAAAGAAAAGATACCAATTGAAATAATTATAAAGTTATTTGTTTTCACCCGGTGTAAACACCCACGGGTGGAATGAAACGGGTTTTTATTGGGTTTTTACCCTCATGTGGGTTTTTACCCGGGTGGAAACCCATCTCTATTGGTAGATCGATACACATACATAGATATTTTTTTGTAATATAACTAATGTTAATTTAGTTTAATGTAGATTTTGTATGATCTGAATGATCATACAAAATCTACCGTCTTTTACGCATCCGGCATCATTACACATATTTTAAAGCTCTTACTCTTAACAGATTAGGTTGAGGTTATAACACTTTGTGTAAAGTGTGTTTGATATTAAAATTCGAATTTCACCGTCTTTTATTTATTCCTACTTACACTATCTACTCGATTCGATAGTAAATCAATCAAGTATCGTTACACTAATCATGTGGTTCAACTCAGAATCGATTCAGAGTATCGATACATAGTATCCGAATCGAACATCCGTTTTTAGATCCGTACAATCGAGCGTACAGAGCATTTTTTTTATTCATCTGGTGTGGAATAAGCTATGGTCAACGACTAAGTATGTATTCTGCCTAATAATTGTTTGACTTCCTTCCTACTCTACTCTATCGATATCGATATCTTCTTTCAATTAATTGTTTGTAAAATTAATCCATTCCCAGATTAACATAATTTACTACATAAATTGCATTGCTGAAAGACCACATCCTAATACAAATTAATTATTTAAATAAAAGCACCTATATTCATTAATGCCGTTGCCTATAATTATTGTTGACTTGACATTTGTTATTTGACATTCTTTTTTTTTTAAGTGTCAAAAGTTGATTGGCGTGGTAGTAGCAGGTTGAGTGTAGCGTAGTGTGTAAAATTGATTTCTTTTATTTGTTATGAATTGATAAGAGTATTATTTATTGATGATTTTCATCCCTAAAAAACAATTAAATAATATCATAGTGAAATATATTTGACACTTTAGTTCTTGTTGTTCAACTCTTCGATTTCTACAACTGGCGGTGTTAGCAGGTGTGTATTTTTCGCTGTAATTTCTTTAATTATTACCGCTAATTACCGATAATTAAACACTTGAGTTTTATTATTTGTGAAGTTTATTCATTAATCATTTAGGTTGAAAGTATTAAATTTTTTTAAGTGACACATGTATCCTATAGTCTTTTTCACCTAAGATGATCCGTATGACGTTTCGAGTTTGAAAGATTTAGAGATGTCACATAACTAAACCATAGCGATTTATCTATCGATTTTTTTCGGAGAGTTAGTAAAACCTACTTTTAGAGAAATATTTTGTATAGGTGTTATTTAGCAAAAAGCATGTTTTTTTTTAATTACAAATATTATTGTAACAATTTTTTATTGATAATGTTCAAATTTCATGGTTCGTGTTCAAAAAAACGATTCCTAAAAAGTACTGGTTCTGTTTCTTTAAATTAAAAACTATTAATTTATTTTCAATGCGTTTATTAAAGTCAATAATCGAAAAGTATAGTTGATTTTTGTGATGTTTTTAATAACTAAGTATTCACTGCCATCGATTAATGAACCGCGGAAATAATCGATTTTATTATACAAGAAATACCCCAGCACTAAATCTATTCCGTTTCACACATTGCGTACATTAAATAAAAAATGTTTTTACATCGTATTTAATTAAAATATAACCAATAGACTCACATTTTACTATATATTTCAAGACAAGTAGTTAATTTTTTTTTATTATATTGCTAATAAAATACAAATATTTTTTCAAAAATATTCTGCATATGTAGTATGCGTAATATGGATAACCTTGAAGTGTCATACGGATCATCTTACGTGAAAAAGACTATAGTAATTTGGTTAAAGGTAGGTGATTGTAGGAAGGTAGGTCCATAACATTAGTGTACAATTACATTCTTGGAAAGTCTGCATTTATAATATCATTTCACATGTTTCAATTTTGTTGGAATGAACAGTAAGTACGAACTATGAATTTTAGATTATTTATTTTAAAAAACTTACTTACTCTGGCAAACTTCAATATCTAACAGGTTGGAATCAAACACTAGTGGTGCCTAACACACAATGTTTATTTAGTTACGAGAATCATTACTAATTTTTACAATTTTCCTTTTATGCTGTATGCCGATATTCCAGACAACATGCGAAAGTCATGTCTCGCACTGATCAGCTCTCACAGCATACAAAGAAAGAAAGATTTTATTTTATTTAGTCCTTACACTACAACATTACTTTATGTACTTATACATATAGTTTGTTTAATTTGAACCAAAATATACAAGAGGTTAATACAATGCTTTTTCACAACACATTCTTCCTACACATAAATCAATTCAAAGACCACTTGAATTCCATTTTCACATTAATTTGACTAAAAACAATTTATTTACACATTTTTTAATTGATTTTTGAAGTATATAAATTCACCATGTCCTTATTACTTGTGTAGGGGAACCTGTTGAACCTTGGACAGAGTTGTACCTAAAACAATTGTATATATTTTTTAAATTATGCGGTTTTATGAAAAGTTGTCTAGGGTATTACATACGTCATTTGTCAACGTTAACGTGAAGTTAGCTAAGATTCGCCGACGCCGTGCAAGTACAAGAAAAAATGGTAATTTAATATTTTACACTGACGCAGTGAGATTTTGGAGGTTTACTTCATGTCAATTTATGAAAAATGTTGCATGTTTGACAAAACGGTTATAGTTAGAACATAATCTTTATATATCTAGCTACTAGACGATATGAGTTTCAGATCCTAAGCTCAAATGGAAGTGGGTTTATTATGCTTATTAAGTGAAGTAGTCGTAATGTTGTACCTTGACCACCCAACTAGCGATGTACCTTGGTCACTGATTTTCATTATGTTTTAATGAGAATTTTATTGTAATAAAAAAAACATATTATACTGTTATAGAAACAATGCCCCGAAGACCTCAAAATAGCAATTTAAAGTCTGTTTTTGATATATATATTTTTAATTTCTAATGTTTTTTAAATTTACGTTTAATGTATCTTCATATGACTTTTTTAACATTATTTTTGTTGATAAAGCGGTTTTAATAGATATTTTGCTAGAATTTATGTTAAATGATAAGAAATAAAAAAAACTAGATTGCAAGTTAAAGCCACTCCAGCGCGTATTTTGTCCTACACGACATAACATATCAACATTCACCAAAATTTTCTAGAAAAAATGTTGAATATTGTCATATTTTTGTTGATTGTGTAAGGCTAAACATGGACTGGAGAGCCGGCTTAAACTTAAGTGATTTGTTGCCAAAAATTTGTGAAAAATAATTAGTACAAAAAATATGGATGAGGATCTTTTTTAAAAAATACTTTTACCTAGATATTGTTGCTAATAACTGTAATAATTGGTATTTCAAATAATAATTTAACAGAAAATTAACATATTGAAGCGAATATAAGCATTTATTTAAATTTAAATAGGTACAACGTACACGGTCCAAGGTACATCTGGTTTGTTGTACCTAGGACAGTTTTCCCTTTTTTTTTCTAGCAGCTAGTATGCCCAAATTTTTAAAATTATACACAATTTTATGAATGAATTATGTAGCTAATTAAATGATCTTTAAATATAACTGCACTAGACAAGTTTAACTATCACCATTATTTTTCAAAAAATCAAAATTCGAAAAACTGGCCTAAGTACAACAGGTTCCCCTACTCTTCTGAGGAATCATATTCACAGGAACAAATTATCATAAAAATTGAAGTGATTGTTAACAATTGCAGTTATTTTTCCTAGTCCTCTTGCTACTCAGCAATAATGTAGTTTAACATCTGTTTTTATTAACTTCAAAGATTTTTCATAGTATTTTAGAAGGGTTTTTAAGTGGCCTTTGTAGTAGTCCCTTGCCCTTAGTAGTGGTCTTTAGTCCAATGAGGTAACTGTAAATAATAAAGTGCATTTGCAACCAAATTCCTTAATAATGTTTATCAGATTTTGATGCAGTCATGAGCGTCAGCTATGCTGACTAGGAAGTCGTAACGCTCGTAACCGGGCGGCTTCGGCGGCGAAGTGCTACTGGAGCGTTGGTAAAATATTAAGTTTAAAATACATACACATTTCTCGTGTAATTTCCGCGTGGCGTGCGTGATTAAGGGCAATAGTTTGGCCAGTGACGCAACATACGTATTTTAGGCGCAAAAGAACGCATTTCGACCGTAACGGTCGCGCTGAAATGCAAAACGGCTCTGTAATGGCGCCGAAGTTTAAATTTGATTTATAACTGCTCGGCATTCGTATAAGTCAGACGTTAATTGGTCACGTGTATCCTTTTTTCATGCGCGAGCAGTATTGCTGAAAGACTGAAGGAAATATGTGTCTTATACCTATATGATAAATGAATGAGATGGACAAAATGTGTCGAAATTGCACATAATTCAGTTGAACTATTGATATCCTATGTTACCGAGCCGCCAGTCAAGGTATAGCAACAGCATAGGTACTAGAAGAAGTAAGAAGAAATACCTAGTTACATACCTACCTTTCAAAGCCATCAACAGGACGTCTAAACGGCAAAAGTTAAGGTTTTCTTCAAGTTTCTAAAATTTTACCACCATTGTTTCTAAATTAGGCTTGATTGCATCTTAAGACAGTTGCGTGGGTGACCAAACTGTTCATGAAGTGACTCAACTGTGGGCCATTACGGCGAGATGTAGTACGTACGCGAGAGATATTTCAATTTTACTGCAAAATCGTTGTCTGTCCTCACTTTCCCCTAAAATGGAACGATGCAATTAATTCGGTGTTCACAAATCAACCGTAAATATACGCGCGCCTCCCTACACACACATAAAGTTGTTGTCAATTTTTTCGCTACTAAAAGGGGCACATTCTTGTTTATACTAGGACCATACCGGCCTGGTGCGTCTTCTACTTTTAGAAACAAGTAAATTGGTCGGTTTTTCAATTGACCAGAGGTGGAATTGTGTAAAGTAATCGTAATCATTTGACAAGAATCGAACCCGGGAATGAGTCGCTTATTGATTAACTGTGCTACTATTATAATTTATGAATAACGAAATTTTGATTCTTGTCAGCATAAGAGAATGACTCGACTCGCCTTTTTGTGTGGATAGCAACACATTTATTGATCAAACATAATAAAGAACTTACTTCAGTAATACATTATTATTCGCCCAAAAGATAGATTTTATTACGAAACATATTGATTTTAATATTTTCTGTAATCTTTTGTTTTGATTTAGCAGTCTATAATGGCTATGTTGTAAAACAAACGCTGTTCTGTTTTATTTTTCAATGGTCTCATCTAATTTACTGTTGCTAATTCGGATGTTATAATTAACATCACGTGACGTCTCGTGTCCTTTCTGTGCCATTTAAATGGCCATTAGAAACTTGGTTCAGCTTCAACCGGTCTTATTTTAATGGTAAATATCCTTATTTTCCTCTGACCTTGGTACGCTAATGCGAAAAACGAGTCAAACAACACGCCATCCGACTTTGAAACAATTTTACCTGAAAGAATTGTATCGTGTCTTCTAGTCATCAGTGAAGCTTTATGACAAATATTTTTACTTCGGTCCCATTTTGCACGTAAAACAATCAAGAATAGTACAATACGTAAGTTTATTTATCTTTCTCTGTCGCCAAAATGCTAAAATAATGCACATAATACTACTTAATTTGGTAAAATACAATTTTGTCCGAAATAATGATTGGTGCTCTAGATTTTATCGAAAGTAGCAATGAACTTATTACATGAGTTGGTTACATAATTGTTGTAAGTATTTTTTGGTTCATTAATTTGGCCTACCTATACCATTGGGTGTTACAGATAAACCCAGCAAAATGACATAAATTATGCCACTCTCAGTATTGTTTTATAATTACTAAATGAAGGGAAACCGGAATATATTAAGATTTTATAAGACTTTTCAAGCAATTTTCGCCTTTCTCGGCCCAACATTTCCTGCTAATGTCCCACATCAGCCCGACGCCTCACGGCTGTC